GGCCCGGGGCCCGGCCTCAGCCCGGGGGCTGCCCCGCCGGCAGCCCCTGGGTCAACGTCACGGCCTCGGGTGCGCCGTGCCTGCGCTGGGCGGACGTGCCACCCCTGCTTGAGCGGTCGCCCCCGGAGGGCTGGGCGCCACTGCGAGGACAGCGCCACAACTTCTGCCGGAGTCCCGCCGGCGCGGGCAGACCCTGGTGCTTCTACCGGAGCGCTCGCGGCCGAGGGGACTGGGGCTACTGCGGCTGCGGACCCGGTGAGCGCCTCGCGCGGCGGCGCTCGGCTTGGACAGGGGGACAGGGGGACAGGGCGTGGGGCGGCGTCAAGTTTCCAGCCAAGGGCGCGGGTCCTTGGGCGTGGAAATCGCAAGGTGTGCTCTGTGTGTGACGGTTGTCGGGGTGACGGTCTCTGTGCCAGGTGCCGCACTCAGGGCGCCTAGATGTGGCCCTGTCTGGCCACTGCGCTCGCCCTGGGCGGATGTTTGTTCACTAGATCAGCTTGTCTTGAGGGTGTTACCGTATTTACGCAATCAAGGGAAAACAGAGGAGGAAAGTTTCTAATGACTTGTTTCGGAAATGGAAATATTAAATCTGTCGTGACAGCCAATAACCTTCCCCCCTCCCCGTAGACCCCATTTGGGAAAATGTGGTAAACATTTCGCCTTCCTTCCACCGTTAACCTCTGTTGGAAGAAGTAAGGCAGCATTTGTGGACCAAAATAAAACTCGTCAAAATGATTCTCACATTCTGGGGCGGAGTATGGTAAATACCATCAGTGAGTGAAAAGAAAGAGAAAAGAGAGAGGAATAGTGACTATTTAGGGAAGAAGCAGCTCGATATAGTCAAGTGCCATTCTTTAGCTGTATATGTTATTTGTGGAAAATTGGGATTCTTTGATAAAGAGATACAGTTGGTAAGATGTTTTAGTTCTGTGGTAATTAAAGTATCATGTTAATAGATTTAATGTCAGTGGTAATCTGCCTTTTAACGGGGCTTCATTTAAAGTTTCGGGATTTTGTTTAACATGAAGGCTTTTTTTTTTTTTTCCTTTCTAATCTAATAGCTGAGGAAGAAAAACCGTATGTCCTTCAAAGTTTAAATTTTTCTTCAAAAATTTTGTGGCAGCTCTCCATCCAAGCTGTGAGGCAGAGGCTTCACGAATGGGGATTGTGAAATATATTGCGCGTTATGCCTTTTGGAGGTGGTGTGAAGGTTAGCTGTCATAGTGCCGTTCTTTTCCTATAGGAAATTTTATTTGTCCCTTCAATTCCATTAGTGCTTTGAGTT